GTTTCTGTGAGCTAGAGAGAGAGAGAGAGAGAGAGAGAGAGAGAGAGAGAGAGAGAGAGAGACAGCAAAGTTGAGAATCAGCGTTTGTTGCCTGGCAGGGGTACCTCCTGGGTTTTGGAACCATAAATGTAAGGTCGGCAAGTAAAGAAAGAACCCAGTTTAGGCCACGAAAGACAGTTTATTGAGGAGAAATTGTGCGACTGGCTCTCAAACAGAAGACCAGCCTCCACTAAAAGTTACAGACGGGTTTTATATTCTCTTACAACGAACTTTGAGTCTATCCTGCCTAAATTTCAGAACCATCTGAGGGACAGGTTTTAGGCCTTGAAAACTAATAAACGAAGGCCAGATGAGTTGTGGGAGGATGTCGAAGGTATCATTCAGGAAGAGTGCAAATGGTCATTGCAAAGCCAAAAGCAGAAGAAAAGACCAAAATGCATGTCAGAAGAGACTCTGAATATTGCACTGGAGCACAGAGAAGCCAAGGCAGAAGGAAGAATTTAAGATACTAATGAGCTGAATTGAAGATTTCAAGAGGCATCATGGGATGACCAAGTCAAATATTACAATGAAATATGCAAGGAGTCGGAGTCAGGAAATCAAAAGGGCTGAAGTCGCTCAGCATTTCTTAAGCTCAAGGAACTGAAGAATAAATTCAAACCTCGAGTTGCTATAATCAAGGATGCTTTAGGCAGATATTAAATGATCCAGAAAATATTCAAAGAAGATGGAAAGTGTCAGGGCCTGGCTAACCTGCAAAGCAGGATCAGCAAAGCATTGTAAAAACAGCAGGACCACTCATCTTGGCTTGACCATCCCTTCTACAGTAAACAACTCCAGGAAGCAGTATGTTAATGAATAAGTGTGACCAAAGGTCTCAGACCTTAGGGAATGTTATTTACTGAAACTCTTTGTTTCTTAGAGCTCTCAATAAGAAGTGCTGTAAAACATCTTTGTGTTGTGCTGAGGTCTGAGAGAGTTAATGTTTGATCTACCAGTCAACATCTCAGATAAGAGAGAATGCAATTACCCCTGCAGGCATGTTCCTAAGACATGTGTGTGTGTGTGTGTGTGTGTGTGTTTGTGTATACCCTTGCCAGAATATTCAACTTGCTATTTGTCATCAGCAATTAGCCTCTCCCGCATCTTCATTTCAACCTGGTGCCTCCTTTTGGCGGAATTCTCCCAACATATCGGGGCTGGATCCCCAATAATTGTCGCCCAGACAAGGACCGCTGAACACGGAGGGAAAACACTAAGGGATCCATGAAAGTCGTAAGATAGGAACTTACTGAATTTGCCTTCGGTGAAGTAAAGATCGGAGAAGGGCGGAGACGGGGATTAATCAGGTAAAAACATTGTATGTGCACACTTTTCAGAATATGTTAAAAACCCGCGGTGTAAAATTAAATTCCCAACAACTTTATACTTTCAGCTTGTGGAGATTTGTTAGAGATACCTTAGACTCTAGGAATTAGAGTTAGATAAATTGAAAGAAGAAGCTGAAAGTAATCATGCATGAGAAGCTGAATCGGGGATGGAGAAAAAAGGATGAGATTCCCCTGATATATATCTCTCCCTGGAGATAGGCATGGGAGGGGAGGAGTTATGGAACTAGAGAAGGGAACTGCTCAAAACTGGCCTGCACCCCCAAACTCTGAAGTGTTTTTTAGCTCGAAAGTTGAAGATATGTTAGGGAAAGTCTTAGAACAATTGGATAAGCTCAAAATGCACCTCCTCCTTTTAATCCTAATTACAAAAAGTTAGAATATCAGCAGTCATCTAAATTTTTAGATTTTGCTAAGAAAGTCTGTGTCTGGTTTCCTAAGAATGGAACTGTACTGCTGGCAATGCCTCTTTCTTTCTCTCTCCCTCCCCTCCCCCCAGCACTCTGTGTAGCTGCTAACTTGCAGAGTCAAGGGGAGAGTCCCAAGCAAAACGAAAGGTGTCAGATTCTAAGGCAGTGCTGTGGCTGATTAATTACTCAAACCTTATACCTTATTCTCCTCAGGAAAAGTGTATGAATTAGGAACTGATGTCTTTTGGTTAAGGAACTATGGGAATAATTTTTAAGTGTAATAGTCTTAGTAATCAAGGTTTCCAGATTCATATTAGAAGTATTAAGTCTAAAGTTCATTGATGAAATTATTGTTCCTTTACCTACAAACTA